ATACTACTTTTTTACCGAAGTATTCGTCACTCAGCTTATCATTTAAATGACTTAAGGGTCCTGAGAATATGGTAAATACATAGAAAGGAAATTTCGTATGTGACGATGAATAACCCGAGTTCCCTCCCAACACTAAATACTTTACAATAAACTGTAGGAAACTGCTTCCAAGGCATACTGAAGAAAATAATGGGTGTGTCAGTAGGTTAAGTCATAATGTAAGTAGGTAGTCTGCCATTGTATCTGTTCAGTGAATTAAGCGAATCATGAGAAATGTTCAATTTTCATTATCTGCAGTCAGTTAGTCATATTTTATCATTTATGTCAGTATTACTGTAGCATTTTAAACATTCATTAATCATTAAAAATCTCAATGAGAAGGCATAGTGTATTGATTAATTAATATCTTGTGCGTCGGTGGCACAGTGGTTAGGACTCTCACCGACCATGCACATGGTCCGGGGTTCGAGCCCTCGCCGACGCACACCTGATATCTATGGTCGGCCTGCGAATTTTGGGCCACCAATATCCACGCTGAAAATTCCATACTTGTACCAAAAATACGGTGTGGAATCAAGCTGTGATCAAAAAATAAAAATAAATAAAAAAATAAAATTACTCTCATACACTTAGGTTTTCAAAAGAAAATATTTGAAGATACATTATATCCTGTCTTAAGTGAATATAGAGAAGAAAGAGGTGATGGAAATAGCTAACCAACTACAACGAGCCCTAATGCCTATCCAATGAAGAAATCTTTTGAACGAGGCCACCTCTTCTTCTTATCTGAACAGCCATCGTTTCAACTACAGATGACGTGGATAAGGATATCGAAGCCAGAATCGAAAGGCGAAATAGGCCTACATTACATACAAGAATTCCCTTTTATAGATTTGAGCAGAGAAAGAACCCTCGTTGGTGCAGAATAACATGGATCCATTTTATTTCGGTGGTTTTCATCAGCTGCATACAACCTATGACCCTTAATAAAGGAAATTTAACATACTTTTGTCACCAACAAGAATATTACAAGTGTCATGGTGAGGTAAAACATCAGGATGACAATATAGCTGAAGTGTAAGTATATATATGTATATACCCTGTTAGAGAGATGCTTTTAGGAAATTAATTAACAAGTTTGTTGTTAGAGTGATAACACAAGTTAGTAACAATTACATAGTTAGATAAGAGAAGATCAAAATCTGGTGTACAAAAAGTCAGATGAAAAGACTATGATGTAATATAGTGAGTAGAACTCGTAAGTTCAAGAAAAATTATCTCTTACGGAAGTCAATCGACCAGTTATATATTATTATTCCCTAGCTTTTCTGAGTGGAACACAGGGATCCAGCAGCACATCTCTACTTCGTCCTATTCTGTGCAGTCTTCTTCAGCTTGTTCCACTATTTCCCACAAACAGCTGATTTATTCATGGGCAGTAATTTTGGTTGAAATATTACAAAAAGGAATAATTTTCTATAGTTTGGTTTGTAAGGGTTAGTCATGTTCTTAAGAGTTGATCACGGATTGATATCAGTTAGAGAACCATTGAAAACCAGCACTGGAGTACTGGACAGCTGCTGTTTCATCCTAGTTTAGGAATCATCGGAAGTACGCACCCACTGGGATTCGAACTCAGGGCCTTCCGGTACAAGACAAGCTGGCTCGTATACCATTCAGCCACTGGGACCCGATTCAATGGCCAACCCATGAATTCTAACTTCCACGAATTCGTGATTTAGCGTGACCCCAACCATTGTCGTTGGTGGGACATCCATCCATACACGTGACATCTAATTGGACCTCACTGGTCACGACTTCTGACTAGAACTCAGGAAACTCCAGCCTGTAGTAAGTCACTAGCGAGCATCAGTTTAATTTTCTATAGTTTGGTTTGCAAGGGTTAGTTATGTTTTTAAGAGTTGATCACGGATTGATATCACGAAGTGGTAGAAGTTAGAATTCATAAGCCATTGAATCGGGTCCCAGTGGCTGAATGGTATACGAGCCAGCTTGTCTTGTAACCGGAAGACCCTGAGTTCGAATCCCAGTGGGTGCGTACTTCCGATGATTCCTAAACTAGGATGAAACAGCAGCTGTCCAGTACTCCAGTGCTGGTTTTCAATGGTTCTCTAACTGATATCAATCCGTGATCAATCCGTGATCAAAAAAGGAATAACTTGAAATGTCTGTCTGACTAAATCGAATAGTACAAATCTGCCGAGCTGTATTCACATGTGTAATAAATATGTCAAAGAAAATTTGAAGCTGATTTAATAACCGTAACACTTCCAGTTAAAAAGTAAAGTATGAAGAAAAAAAGCGTTCTGAGCAGTGTTTATCTAGTGTACAGAATGTTCAGAGGGAATTATTGCACTATAGTTCCCCTTTTGTCGGAGATATTCAAGTAAATTGCGTAACACATTGTCTGTCTGACAGTTGGTCTAAGCCACGTAGAAAGGTGTAGACTTCCAGGCTGGGGTCCTCGGGACGGTAAAAATCTATGGTTGGAAACAATTGGTGACATGGCTCAAAACCGTTCTCAGTGGCGCAGATGCATCACTCCCTGTGACTTATGATCTTCAATGAAACTGTTTTGTATTTCTTTATTACTCCTTTGTCTCACACCTCTGCTCACTGTTTCTATTATGCTTTTCTTGTACTTTCTTCTCTTGCTTCGCGTGCTACACGGAATGTGGCGACTTGAACTTCCGCACATTTGTGCAAAGTTCTATGTCGAAAACAGACAGACAGACAACCTCTCATCTCCTCCTCACACGATCTCCACATGTCACCCTTGAGCCCATGCCCTATTCACCGTCTCCTGTTCAGGTTCCACTCAAGGGTATACCTGTCGCTTTTTGTCACTCAATGATCTCTTCAGCGTGTGCTCTAGCCACCCCTTTTCATTTCCTCCTGCATATTAGTTGATTCCTCCTCATAGTCCTCTGGTGCTTATCCTTTCTGACCATCTAAACTTCAGTATGGACTGAAGGGAGCTGTTGATAAAAGTTCGCAGCGGCATGTTGGAGTGCCTTCCGTGATGCACCAAGTCCCTTGGCCATACAGAAAACCAACTTAACATTTGTATTGAAAATCTGAATTTTGTTCCTTATACAGAGCGAAGAAGATTTCCAAACTAATTTAACAGTAATGAATGTCTGTCCAGCCTTTCCGATCCTAATTTCAACATCCTCATCACATCTTTTAATAGTAAACATATATGAATTAAATCCAGATTTTATTGTACTGATTAAAATTAGGTCAGTACCCGAAATCTGGTCACTCCATTCAGTCATTAACTAATTAATTAATGGACCTAGAATTCTATTTACGGCATATGTGACAACTTCAACTGTTTTGCCTACCAATGATAGCTTTCATTTGTTATTAATATCATCCGGTTACATAAACAGTCCATATTATCTAAATGCCTGAATTGTGCATTGAACCTAACTACTGAATTATTACGTAATGGGACGTCAGTACGACCAATATTCTCTAAAGACCCAGTTATTCAAAGCTTTAAAAGCCAATTTCTTGAAAATTAATCTGATGCTTGCCAGTGACTGGTTAGAGGAGGAAGTTGTTTGGAGTTCTAGGTGAGAAGTCACGACAAGTGGGGGCCATCCAGTGGGGAATGCGGACGGAGTTCCCGCCAATGACACTGATTGGCAGTTGCGCTAAAATCACGAATTGAATCGGATCTCATTGGCTGAATACTATATAAGCTTGCCTTGTAACCGGAAGCTCCTGGGTTCGAAACCCAGTGAGTGGGGGAGTACTGCCGATGATTCCCAAAAACTAGGATGAAATAGCAGCTGTCCAGTACTCCCTGGTTTTCAATGATTCTCTAACTGACTTCAGTCCGTCATCAACTCGTAAAAACAAAATTAATCCTTACAAACTAAATATTGAAAATTAATCCAATGCTCAATAGTGACTTGCTACAGGATGGAGTTTCCCGGAGTTCTAGTGACAAGTCGTGACCAGTGATGTCCATCCAGTTAAATGTGAGGATGGATGGTGGTTGCGCTATAACACGAACTGGTAGAAGTTAGAACTCATGGGATAGTGAATCGGGTCCCAGTGGTTGAATGGTATACTAGCTTGCCTTATAACCAGAAGATCTTGGGTTCGAATCATGGCAGTGGGTGCGTGCTGCTGATGAGTCCCAAACTAGGATGAAACAGTTATCGATTTCTCTCTGGTTTTCGATCGTTCTCTGACTGATATCAGTCCACGGTCCAACCTGAAACAAATAGAGTCCCTCTAAAAACCAATTCTTAAAAATTAAAACTTTAAGCAGTTAAAAATAATTGCGTATTTATTTTCATTAAATTACTCCCCAATACTCTGTATAGTATCTGAATAGTATATGAATTTTTAAATGATCATAAATGTGTGTCTGCACACGTATCTAATGTACGCATATAAAATGTCTTGTCAGTATATACATATATATAGTATTTTTATAGACCGCATATTTTAAGCCTATCGGATAAATGATAAGGACAACCAATAAAATTCTTTGGCAATTTTTATCCCTGCCCATAAAAAAACTGATATTTTAAAATGGTCTTTATTCTATCTATCCTAGTATTATAAAATACATTGGATATATCAAAACATTACTAGTAAGGTATGCGTGCGTATTTTTATTGTGTGTGTGTGTGTATACATGGACGAATCTGTTTTCCATATACGAACGAACAACAATTTAGGCAACTAGGTAGTTAGGTAGGTAAAGAAAGGGGTTATGACTTAAAAATTACAAGTTAGAAAACGGATTTCAACGATATCCTATTAAGGCCTAGCCAGACACACTGAAATATCTACAATGACATATGGTAATACTCACTCACCCACCACTCACTCTCTCTCTCTCTCTCACTAACTCAATCACTCCCTGCTTTGTCTTGTAAATCAACTTGGTCAATCCTACCTAAATTACGCAGTTGAATTCGAATGAAGGTGAACTAGAAAGACAAAAAACAAATAGCACACAGGAAGAACAAGGAGAAAGAAACCACGACTTTGCATAAAACACTTCATTTTACGAATGTCCTCACAAAATACCCAAGTATGCTAAACATTACCACTGGTAATCCATCTTCATCGACAGGAATGAATCATAATTTCAGCGATAATTTAACTATGTATACATCTCAGAGTAATTCTATAGACTATAAACACATACCTTTAGTGTCAGAGTTCAGTGAGAATTTCACGCATCCATTATCAACATGTACAAAGGACGGTGTACATCATCCATGCGAGACAGTGACAAATTTAGCCTATCCATTAAATGTTTCATTGCCTTATCCTCATGCGTATTATTCACAACACCAGTCTCATTTGATTTTATCTAATCAAGAACAATCACAGCAACAGTCAATGAATTCTACTGTAGCCTCGATGTCGTCTAATTCTAACTGGATCAATTGTATCAAACCATTATCAACAGGGAATAATGATAATAATAATAGTAGTAATAATAATAATGCATCTTCAACACCAGAGATTATTTATTCTAATTTATTAATACCAGGAATTGAATCAACAAAATTACATTTGGATTATACTAAAGCATCTTTAACAGATAATCATATGAATGAAGCATTTTTGTATTGTAATACATCAATGATTAAGTCGAGCTTAAATGATCATTCACTTAGTAGGCGTATGTGTAGTGAACAGTCGACTAACTGGTGTCAAAGAATAAACGAATCAAGGAGTGCTATGCCGAATAGAAACAATCCCGAAAATGGTGACTGTAATAATCGAGACGGTAATCATGGTGTACAACAGGAAGACGAGGAAGATGATGATGATGACGGTGACGGTGACGGCGATGACGATGGTGATGAAGATCAAAGTGAAATTGATGAAGACGGTGATCCTTCACAAACATCAAATGCGAAAGTAGTCAATAAATCATTCTTAGATAAGGCAAGACATCGTTCCCTGTATGAATCTGAATATACAAATGGTAATGAGAGTAAGTTTATATCTAAGCAATAAATTCATGTGATAATCAAATTTGCGAATACTAACCACGGCTTTCATAAAACCAAGGTATCAGACGAATTATGGTTGAAAATTGAAAATCACTCAGAGATCTTTTCTCCCACTGTATGACGCTTTAGCAAGCATACATGACTTACATGGCTTAAAAAGTAAAGAACGATAATGTGAAGCAATTAGGATAGTCACAAGTCATTCCCCATTTCAGAAGATGGGGATACTCATGTGATAATTTCGTCCTTTGTTCACATAATGAAGATCAATGATGAAGTTTTTTTTAAAAAAAACTCTTTTAAATTTAGTTTTAGATCAGATGATCTAATTTCAGTTCACTTGAAAATGATTTTTCCAATATCTTAACTTTAAAATCTACTTTTTAATGAATTCTAGTTATAAGTTGGTAGATATGATCACTTTGGTAGGGATTTGATTGGCTACAAGTCTGACTTTGGAAACCAGGAAGTATTGGACAGTCATTTCGTCCTATTTTGAGATTCTTAATCGGCATGCATCCATGAGCCAATACCTTCAGGTTACGAAACGAGAGTGTTGGGAGGGAATCAGATGACCCATGAGTTAGTTCTAACTTCTGGCTTTTCCCGATATACAACATAAATTTGAGGGTTACTTGACTCTGTCTCAGTGGTTTAGTAATCCAAGAACTCGCCTCATAACCTGAACATCCTGAATTCAACTCCTGTTGGGATCATGGACACGTCCTGCTAAAGAGATATGATTACTTTTTGTCACATAAATTTTGTAGTATTGTGCTTCGGCTTGAACCACTAGTCTTGGATGTGAACTTTTTTTTACACTAACCGGACTAACAATCTAAAGTCCGTTTGTTTGAATCCTGATGCGACTTACTGAGATTTTCATTTAACTTGTAATCATCACTCATCATTATTAGTCTGCTTATGCAAAGTTATTACGGATAGTCCAACAATTAGTTTGAAAATCTTTAACTCACCTTTGGGAAAAGCTGAGGTTAAAATATTTATTACATGGGAAACGACTGATAGGATTAGTAGAAATGCTGAGGTCCGTACGGATCACTTTCAAAGTGTCGCTCATTAGCTATGTTGAATGCACTATGAGATCTTGATGATATACGCACATAAGTAATTTCTGAATCCCTCCCCTTCTTGAAATGAGATCCGTAATTCTGGAGCTGCTACCCAACACTTCTTATCAACTTTTTTAACTTACCTTCACATTCCCAGTGGAACATAGGACTTCAAGCTGGAGGCTTGAAGTTTATGTAGCAGAGTTTATTTTTACAGGATGAGGTTGCAAGCTTCATGCCCAGCCTTCCCTCTTTACCAGTCTTATTACTGGCTGAGGTAAAGGAGTTTGTCGGCCGAGGATCGAACCCTGGACCATATGCATGGTCGGCGAGCATGCTAACCGCTGAGCCACCGACGCACTTCAACTTTAAATATCCCTCATAAGAAAGATTTATCTGTCAACCAAAGTCTTTCAATGAAATACAACATGTACTATTATATATAGGTTATATTGCATGAAATTCTAGCTAATAACAGCTTTGTCATGACCAACAATTATGACCTAATCATAAAATAATTCTGTCTTTCTAAGGTTCTGGTAAATGGTAATTCAAAAATTAGGAAACTGAATCAGACGTAGTATTCAAAATAAATTTCTGATTAATGAAAATATACGTTAGTTGTAGATTGTGTCACTTTCAAGTTTACATATTGGAATACTATCCGATAAGTAAGTAATCCAGCTATGATTTTTATTCATTTGATTATAAAACACCATGAGAAATTCTTTTTATGCTGAATAATTCATTGAGGATTGTGTCTTGTTACTTGTTTTAGCCTCAAAGTGTGTAAAATATTTCTGATCACTTCTATTAAAGGCTGAAACAACATAAACAGTGTCTGGATAACTCAACTACTTGTCCAAATACTAAATGTCACTCTTTAACTCTTCCTTTTATCACCAGTGGAAATGAAGTTATAAAATTTCTAACAATTTCAAAGCTTTTTCAAAAACGTAGTTACTAAACAAAGAATTTTTTTTTCGATAACTCCACCATCAGGTTCCACATTTACGTACACACATAATAGTGAATGAATTAGTGTTATTAACAAAATTAATGTTATTGAATTGAATTTTTGATTTTCCCGTCGACTGATTGGACCGAAGTGTTCCGTCTCAGGTTGACATGTCGGCTTCTTGTGCAGATGCTCGACGATGCCTGGGCATTTAATTAGTATACAATTGATGGATGGTGGCTAGCAGTGGAATCCAGGGTGCGCATTTCGTCCTATTTGGAACTCATCGGCTGAATGTACCTGCATCCACCAATTGTATACTAATTAAATGCCCAGACATCGTCGCGGCATCTGCACAAGAAGCCGACACGTCAACCTGAGACCGAGCACTTCGGTCCAATCAATCGACGGGAAAATCAAAAATTCAATCCAATAATTAATATGACCCGTTGCACAAGAGGTGGCTCTCGTGGCCCAAGTGGTCTAGTGGATAACGCTTTGGCGTTTGAAACTATGGGTACTGGGTTCGAGCTTCGGTGGGAACGTCATCACTCACTGAGAAATGCAGGTACATCCAGATGACGAGTCCCAAATAGGACGAAATGCGCACCCTGGATTCCACTGCTAGCCACCATCCACCAATTGTATACTAAAATTAATGTCGTTTAACTAAATCGAATCAATAATAATTATTATATCAGTGGATTATAGTTCGATAGCATCAACATAACAATACACTGAATATCAGAAAAATTAGGAAAGACAATAATACAAATTCATGAATTTACAGTCTCCACTGAAGGCCGGCCAGGATAATAGTAGTGGATGGACTTGCTTCTTCTGTAAAAAAGAGAACCGGTTACTCCAGGCGAATCACGATAGACTCTGCTGTTTGTAGTATGCGGTACCTGAATTTTTTTGGCAATTTATTTGGTACCGAGTAAATGACAGAGAAGGATTCTTCAATGCTGACCTTGTGGCAGGTTTGGACCAGGTGGTCTAACATCGAACTGTTGATAGTTTTTACTACACCTTTATTTAGCCACACTGGTGGATGATCCCGTGCACGAAAAATCAAGTCCTAACGTTTCCGATATTCAGTAACTGTAATCCATTGATATTATTATTTATTTGATGTTATTAAAACAACAACAATGTTTTTAATAACACTAATTCATTCACTATTATGTATGTATATAACTGCAGAACCTAATGATGAAGTTATCGAAAAAAAATATTCTTTATACAGTAACCATTCTTTTGAAAAATAATTTTTAATGGGCATTTTTAATCGATTTTAAATCTCTGCACTTTATCCGTAGACTTGTTTGTTAGCCACTGAATGTTAACTCACAATTTAATTATATAACACAAATGGAAATTAACAGGTACAGTGTGTATAGACGAGTGAATAAAACATCCTTCTTAAAGACGATCTACGCTTACCTCGAAACTTCACCGACTCGAATGCATACAGTGCCTTGTTTCAATAAATTCTTTCTCAGTTCTCATTTAAAAGAAGTCATAAGAGTAAATAAACTTCGACATAATTTTGATTGGAGAAAATTGTAATGACAACAAAAAAATATCTGAAGATGAAATCAAAGGGAATAATTATCAAATCATTAGGAGATAGATTTCAGTAGTATAAACTACAAAACAGAATTCCAATAAGTGTGCAGTTATAGTTTGATAATTTAACAGTTTCCAGTGCTAAAATGATGGACAATATTTGTAGCTCAGGATGTGAACAATTTTTCTACCTAATTCCTTGGTTTTTTAAAATTACTTTCACATTCCCAGTGTAACATAGGACTTCAAGCTGGAGGCTTGAAGTTTATGTAGCAGTGTTTATTTTTACAGGATGCGGTTGCAAGCCTCATGCCCAGCCTTCCCTCTTTACCAGTCTTATTACTGGCTGAGGCAAAGGAGTGTGTCGGCCGGGGATCGAACCCTGGACCATATGCATGGTCGGCGATCATGCTAACCGCTGAGCCACCGACGCACTTCAACTTTAAATCTCCCTTATAAGAAACCAATACGTGAAAATATTTATTTGAGAATCCATATAAAGTACTTGTTCTTTTTAACAAAAAAAAACTCCCTGATTTCTCTGTCGTCACTTTCTATTGGTGTTTTCTTTTCTTTTTTTCAATAAATCTCATCACCAGTGCATATATGTAGGGACAAATTCCAATGAGATACTACAGACAAGTGAATTAGGTCAAATGAAAACATAAATAAAACCAAAACTGGAATGATAAATGTTCTATGGAAGAAAACTCACACGACAATGACACTCAGCTTATATATATATATATACTTTTTTAACGCAAAGTTCTTCTGAAATGTTTAAACAAACCACTTTGAACTTTGTTTTCTATAACTCATAATGATTTTTTTCAATTCTGAGAAATTCAGAGAAAATAAGTGTGAGAGGCATAAATGTGATACGGAAAGTTTTGAAACTGATTTGGTAGTACAAATTGACACAATAAACCTCCGTAAACAGAATGTATCTACTGAATAATTTGGCTAAAACAAATCTGAGCTGTAGTGTAGTTTAGCCATAAAAAAATTATTCTCATGTATTTGTAAACGGTGTCGAAGTCTACTTCAGAAACAATATAGCTGTCAGTGTTGGATTCATGGGACTCATCATTATTATTATTATCATCATAATATTTTAATCCTTTGCCTTCTGAATGGAACACTGGGCCTCAAGGTGGGGCTTTGAAGCTTCACTAGCAATGTTGCTTTCTTTATGGAGTGGAACTGCTAGCCCCAAGCTCAACCTTACCTCTTCATCTGCCTTAATACTATTACTGCTACCACTGTGATGACAGCTGGCTGCAAGCCACCAATGTAGACAACAATTTACGTTAACGTTAACGTCCCGAATCGGGGTCATGAGAAAAAAACAATAATAAAGTTAAACCTTGAGGAACTCATCAACCAATCACAGCAGACTTAACTTATGCAGATACGATTCGTAGATATATGGATTAACTTCCTGAGAAATGGTCACAAGTACTACAGAATAACTTCCAGCAAGAAAACAACCAATCAGAAGGGGTGACGTACATAGAAATCAATAAATATCTGTTGATTTTCGCAATAAACGATCTGTTGCTTGACTCTTGTCTTCTGTCGTTACACTACTACTACTACTTCTACCGGGTAAGGGATGTTTAGGTATGTATCGGCCAAGAATCGGACCTCAGATGACTCGTAGGGTCGGCGATTGTTCTACAACTGAACCAACGACACCTGATAAACTGAAGTATTCCATTATACATAAGACATAAGCTAGTACAGTTGTTTTGATCATGGATTCAATCATATCAGACTGTTTCCATGGTTTCCTGAAAGCTATAGAATGTTTTTAAAATAAATGTATCAGTTCCATAGAAGACAAATTAAATTCATATCAGTGGTTGCGCATAATTAATAAATTTCGCCATCACCACTGCCACCAACAAAGAAGTTTTGTAAAAGAAATAATTCTGTTCACTTGGAAATAGAGGTACTCTACTCACTAACCTGATTCTATCATTTAAGCAACAACAGGGAAGTATACAAACACCAACAAGCTGGGGGAAGCCATTATAGGTGCCCATTTCTTTTTAAGACTAAAATTTATTCATTCACGCTTCGCTTCAGATATTCACTGTCTTTGCGGTGTGCCGAATTGACCTATCCACTGGTTGTAGCATTCTTATTTTGAATATTACTGTGCACGTGGAATTTTCCGAATAATAATTAAATTGTTAAAATATCATTTGTCAGGCAAAATATTTGGGCATATTTCTGTCAGGTTGAACAGTCAATCATGGCATACGTACCTGTGTGTGTGAGTGTGTGGGTTTTCGCAATAATACCAACAGATCACTTCTTTATGACTCTTGAGCTATTGATACGCTTGACAAGTTAGTAATGTATTATTTTTTATGCCACTAGCAGTATTATGATGTGATTTTCATAATTTCTAACAGTTTTCAACATGTTGAAATGCAACCAAATGGAAAATTATACTCCATGAAGCCACTGGGACTCGATACAATGGCCAGTTCATCAATTCTAACCTCTGCCAATTCATTACATAGCGCGACCACTTCACAATGTCTTCTTCGATGAGTCACTCTCTTCACTTTCATGGCTTCCCACTAGAACCCCAGGTAGCTGCCTGAATAGGGTGGATGAATACTGATGAATAGCCCCAAAAATGGGACGAAACAGCTAGGTGTCCAGTACTCCCTGATGGTTTTCCAATGGTTGTCTAACTGATGTCAGCTCATGATGAAATTCTCCAGCCAATGAAATAAATATTTGACAATAAAGGAAATTTCGCTTATGTTACTAATCTCAAAAGTTTTGAAAAAAGTGTCACAATCAGTTACGTATTCATTCCTAAATTTCATGCTTATCATAGTCATGTTATGAGGCGTTATATGACCGAAGAAATTCTGAATAACACAGCAGTCTGTCTGTGAAGGATATATATTTATCCTAGTGTCAGTCGAAGAAGTAAGTGTTTTTCAGAAGAATCATACACTTCGTTTTAGCCAGAGAGAGAGAGAGGAGTCATGCATAATGTGCAACATTCTGAAATGAGAAGTCTAACCTCTAAGATATGTATCCTTACAAGAAGCACTTGAATTAATAATGCACAATATCTAAGCCTGCAATTGTACCCTAGTTTACTGATGATATGAACCACTGACGTGTAAATCACTACCTGAGAAGGTGTTAAGACACAGAAAATAAGTCTCCTTTATGGATAAGATTTTATTTTGATAAATCACACATTGTTGTACAGTAATAATAACTGATGATGTTTCGAGCAGAAATTATTGCTCATAATCATATCAAATCGCTGTCTATAAAGCTTACCATTTGTGTCGTTTCTAATTTAAGTAGTTAGGTAATTTACCATCCACTCTACACTAAGTGTCCAATAGACTAATAACACAATTATTCGAGAAATGGTTCAAATAAACTCTCAAAGAAAGGATTCGCATTTTAAGTTTCATGTTCTCATATTTTTCATCAAGTTGTTTTATGCAATCTAGTCCTATACATATAGTGTTTTCATCACCGCCGATGAGCATATGAACCCAAACAAAATCCTTGAAGTGTTTCATAACACTCATTGATCAATTAGTTTTACTCTAGAAGTTGAGTCAGGAGCAAAGCTTTCGGAGAGAAATGATGGATCAGTCTAGACGTCAATTCACCACAAGCTAAAATAGAAATGACAGCTAACTAACTTCTACAGCTTTGTCCCATTAAGTAGAAAAAGAGCCATTATCAAATCCCTTCTCATCACAAGAATCACTCATACATTCACCGATAAGACACGCTAAATAGCGAACTGGAGTCTTTCAGCAACACTGTCACTTGGAATGTTTACTCTTCAACATTCATCAATAAACAAGTTACAAAGGAAAAGTTGGTGGTAAACCTGGAATTCAAGGTAACACAATCTGAAGATCTTCGAGACAGATTAAAGTGAGAGATTCCAAATACAGTCTTCTCCACATCTTTACTTCCCACCTTCTCTAAGTAATCTCTTATTCATCAACATTTTAAAGACAATGTCCTACTTTTGTCAACATCTGTGTACATATATCAGTTCACTTGTTCCTGCAGAGCAAAGTATGTGGGCAGTGCCAATAGTTTCTTTTCGGCACAGATAAGGTTTCGTTTCTCTAAACTTTTGGTTTGATATTTTTGTCAATGAGTCTTGATTATAACTCATTCCTTAAACTAATCATCTTGTTACGCAACACTTATTCAACTCTTTTTATGCACTAATTAATATTACCAGCTATGGTTATGACAATGTAAAGAAGAAAGGACCTATGAGGCTCAAAGGCCGTGTTCTCTAGAGCGATCGCATTTTAGGTACATAAATTTGATATGCTTTAAGTCTTTATTTGCGCATCATTTGCAAACTGGTCAAGCATCACCACATTCGATAGCTTGTTGGATTTTGCACAGTGTTGTAACGTTCTTCCCACAGTTCTCTTCTTCGATTTCTTTTTTCCACTGGCAAAGACATACTGTTACTTTTCTGAATTCGTTTGCTCCTATAGTACTTATATGCGATTATAAGTAGAACTCACCACAATAACTCATCACTTTCGCTACTACACTCCACCGTGAAAAAATATTATATCAATGTGATTATGCAGCTGAAGAAAATGAATTCGCCGAAATAAACCTCTTCACTGAACTACTTGCCTTATTCTTTTAATAAAATGTCTATTTCACTTTGAATTGGTGTTGTTTCTTCGCATTCAAGATATGACTTATTCTTGAATTTGAATTAGCTTCTGTTAAGTGTATATGTAACAACAGAAGACAAGGGCCAGTCAACAGATAGTTTATTGAGGAAATCAACACATATTTATAGATTTTCATGTACATATTATAGATTATTGTTAGCAGAAAAACACAGTCTTCTGATTGGTTGTTTCTCACAGAAAGTTAACCTTGCATCTCTTTGTGACTGTTTCTTGAATGTCAGATCATCTATATGTTAACTGTACCCGCCTACGCAAAGCCTTCGTTCTCATTTTTCTCACGACCAATATTGGGGACATAAATATTGACGTAAATTACTGTCTATCAGTCTTGACTAACAGCCAGCTCTCAACACATATATAACAGGTATTCTGTGCACCAGTAATCGGAGCTGTGTTCAAGAATCTTTCTTTTGTATTTATTCGGTGTGTAGTTCAACTCGACTAAAGGTAAATAACGTGTCGAAAGGGCTTATCTACTGGCTGGGTATCTTTGCTTATTGGCTTGTATGAATGACCACAGCCCTCGTACATTCTCATGCCTAACGAAGGGTTCTTTAGTGTTTTTCTTTCGATCTTCTAAAATTATCTTCAAGAGGATTTTTTTTCCTTCACGTTTCCAGTGGAACATAGGGCTTCAAGCTGGAGGCTTGAAACTTCTGTGGCAGTGTTTAATTTTTGTTTTACAGGATGGGGTTGCTAGCCTCATGCCCAACCTTTCCTCTTTACCAGTTTTATTTCTGGTTTAGCGAGATAAAGGAGTGCGTTGGCCGGGGTTTGAACCCCAGACCATGTGCATGGTCGGCGAGCGTCCTAACCGCTATGCCACCGACGCTCAAGAGGATTAATATTTCCAACTAATCAGAGTTTAAAATATTTTGAATTTTTTGCTTTTTTTCTATTTAGATTCCATATGTTCAGAAAGTCAGATGAAATTAAATCCTTTGATCACAATAAGCCACGAATCCATGACAGGAGTTAAACCGGACTCATCTACATCATCATCACCATCGCTGTTAACATCATCTCAATGGCCGAATAAATATGAATGCAAATCCATAAATTATCATCGTTTAATGGGTAGAAATTCTCAATCTTCACCAGTCTGTATGAATCAGACAATCAATAATAATAATAATACTGACAATGTTAATGACAATAAAATTAACGATAATATTAATGAAATCACTAAGGATGGTATAAGTGAAAATTCCAGTGTCAACAAGTCACATCTATGCAACAATTCCACTGAGTTAGACGTTATGGTTCAAAATCAAATTCTTGATCTGCCATACTCAGAAAATCTGGTAAGTGAACTTTAGGTTATTCAGTCTTTTTACTTTCAAAGTAGAGAAAAAGAGCATACCTAGGCTAGAAAAAATAAAAATAGTACAGAAGTGCTCATTTCAAAATAGAAGTGAAATACTGAAATTTCTCTATCAACTATAAGTTTTAAATTGATGGAATATGCTTCAAACAGTATTCATTTGATGGGTACACTGAAAGCTGTTTGCTTTTAAAGTTTGCCTATCACTCAAGTTCAAGAAACACTGAGCATTTGTTTTGTTCGGGACTCAAACTCTTAGCAGTTTGGTAGTACAGACAGACAGGAATACCATTCCAAGGATAGACATGTCACTTTTCAAGGTTCATTACATTATATTTTCCAGTTTCTACCAAGTCAAAATATATAGTAACTGTCTCCTAGTTTCATACGTGACTAACTTCCCCTACACACATGCACACACACGCATATTAGATAGACCGATTACAGATTTTAACTGAGGTCTCATGAAATTCATCTGCGAACAAGTCAGTACTGCCAGTGTAACAACAGAAGATAAGGGCCAGTCAACAGATCGTTTATTAAGGAAATCAACACATATTATAGATTTTCATGTACATTATTATACATTATTGTAAGCAAACAAACACAGTCTTCTGATTAGTTGTTTCTCACTGAAAGTTAATCTTTCATCTCTGGGTGGCCGTTTATTGAAGTTCAGATTATCTATCTGCAAATTGTATCCCCCTACGCAAAGTCTGCTGTAGTTGGTCGTTGAATCAGTTTTTGTTCATATTTTCTCACGACCAATATTGGGAACATAAACACTGACGTAAATTACTGTCCACCAATTTTGACCAACAGAAAGCTCTCACCACACCAGTAATGAATTGTTATTAGATTCAAACATTTTTGAAAGCACTTAATTAGTGGTAAAAATGTATGACAGTGAAGCCATATCGTAAATATTCGGAAAACTGTAGTCATTAAATTACGATACAAGGGTATACTTGAGATATGTTCCTTGTGTGATTATCAAAAGACCTAATGTGGTGTAAGGTCTAGTGAGTACACTAGTGAAGACCATTTACCCAGGGTAAATTAGATGTGCATTGCATCTTGGCTTTTGTATACTGCTAATTGTGCATATATTTATAGAAATACGAGTTATCGCAAAACTTCCCATTCTTTTCCACTTAGTGTATGCGACCACCATTCACAACTGTTCGGGGATGAGCAATAACAATAATACATTCTCATTTATGTTTTGAACCGATAATATGAGGGTTGATAAATTTCTGGATTTCAGCTTTTTTTAGGCAAATTTCATTGATTTTCAAGTATTGGTTTGTAGGGATTTTGTTTGATTGGTTGAAGGACTTCATCATCAGCTGATATCAGTTAGAGAACCATTGGAAAACCAACATGGAGTACTGGACAGCCAGCTGTCTCGTTAGCCTAGTTTGGGACACTTCAGAGGTACCCACTCACCAATATGGTTCTAACCCGGGACCTTTGGTTACCATGCGAAATAGCTCGTTGATCATTAAGCTAGTGAGACTGGATCCAATGGCCAACCTATGAATTCTAACCTCTGCCAATTCATGAAATAGCGTGACCACTTCATAGAGTCTTCTTCAATGAGTTACTGCGTCACCTTTGACCTGCTCTATCCTACTGGGGTTCTAGTGAGAAGGAGTGATCAGTAGGTTACAGCAGGATGAAGATGAGGTAGTAACTCATCGAAGAAGACATTGCGAAATAGTCGCGCTACTTCATGAACTGACAGGAATTAGAGTTCATGGACTGGCCACTGGATAGGGTCCCATTGGCTTAATGGTCTACGAGTTAGGTCACCTTATAACCAGAAGGTCGTGGGTCCAAACCCCTTTGGAGGGTGTGTAGTGTTGGAGAGTTCCAAACTGTGCTGATGAAACAGCTTGCTGTCCATGTTGGTTTTCCAATGGTTCTCTACCTGATATCAGCTCATGGTGAAATCCTCCATCCAATCAAATTACATTAAGGCTTCATCCACTAAGCTCGTTAACTCACAGAGGACAATAAGAAAGACATTTACAACAACAGTTTATGACAGTTTAGTGACGATACACTCAAGGAACTCAGCCTGACTGTTTGTATAAACAGTGATAATAATTCGAAATTAAAATCAAAAGTTTCTACAAAAGAACATTGTGTTGACACACTATTTTTCAACTAAATGAATTAATTTATCCGTTTTTTGCAAAACACACTACTTCCCTGTGTAATGTCAGGCAGTAGCATAACAAGGCGTAAGTAGAATGATAATAGGAATAAGTTTATTTCGAAAAATGTGTTTATTCACAGAAAATTCGTAGCGGTAGATTGAAACTTATTTGAAAATGTGCCTAAGTATACATTGTAATTCCTAGATATAATTGTATCATTAAAACAAAATGAAATAGAATGAAACAATGCATTTAGGTGGATAAAAAATTTAGGTAACCCGGTGATTTAAACTGGCCTCCATCTCTGCTGGCCATGTTTCACCGCCTACACACACACAGACTGCATATATAGTGTCATGAAATAGCATTTAAAATCTGTTATTTTATCAAAATTGTGGTTTATACAACATTACGCGATAGTGCGTTTGTCAATTCTAATAACTAACGATTTGTCGGTATGAAATAATCACAAATATATATGTAGTGTTTGGTGTCAGTTTCTGAAGGACAGGAAATTGACAAAATTCCTTTTAACCTCAATTCTAGAGATACCATTGTGGGTATACTTTGTCAACGGGCAGGGTTAAACTACCATAGCTACTCCAGTCGACTTTACTATAGAGTTTGAGCAAGTCAGTCAGAATTGAGGATCGTTAAAAGTAGCGAAGTTGCTAAAGAAGTTGACTATAGATCATGGTGTTCTGAGATCTATTCTGATTCTGCTGTTTAATCGGTCTCAAAATCCTAATCGTATTAAGAGACCAGCTATCTTGCCAAGCTTTCACAGAGTATCCATGTTTTAGCAACTCACAGTAATAAAAAACTCGATTTTCGTGGAGCTCATTAGACAAATACAGCACTGGGTGACGCGGATTCGAATCTCAGAAGGGACATGCGATCCTTCGAGGTTGCAGATTCTCCCTGCTGATGACAGCCAGCTAGCACAAAACGTAGGTTGTGCGTTGGTGGCATAGTGGTAGTGTAACAACAGAAGACAAGGGCCAGGCAACAGATCGTTTTATTATGAAAATCAACACGTATTTATACATATTTCAACTACATTATTATAGACAAGCGCAGTCATCTGATTGGTTGTTTTTAGGTAGACAAACGCAGGCTTCTGATTGGTTGTTTCGGGATTCCTTGACAAATAGAGTTCTCTATCTGCGAATCATATTTTGCCACGTTAACTTTGCTGTGATTGGTTGTTGACTCAGCCTTGTTCATATTTCTCACGGCCCATATAGTGACCTAGACCTTAACGTAGATTAGTGCCAACCAATCGGCTAGCAGCCTGCTCTCACCACAGTAGAATACTCATCAACCATACCACATATAGTTCGGGGTTCGATCCCTAGTCGAAGCACTCCTTTACCTCTCTAAACCAGTAATAAGACTGGTAAAGAGAGAAGGTTGGGCATGAGGCTAGCAACCCCAACCCGTAAAAATAAACACTACTACTACTCAAACTTCAAGCCTCTAGCTTGAATCCCTATGTTCCACTGGGAACGTGAAGAAATAAAATAAATAAATAATAATATATTAGACAAATCCAGAACAGAAGGTATAATTTGATTTGGTTATAACATCTGTAACCCTAAATGATTATCTAAGGTCATGTACTTGAGTGGTTGTTATGGTTTGACTTCGTCTGTCAATGCTTGTCAAAGCACCTTAGAAGAGCATTCTATGGTAAAAGTTCACAAATCATCTTATATCCGGCTAACAGCTGTTTTTAAACATAAGTAACAAATTCTTGTTGACAAGTTCACACTGGTTATAATGCTCACACTTATTTGGTAAACGTCCTTATTACAACATGAGTAAAACCTATTGTCAGTTACATCATTAACACATTTGATAACTCTGGTCAAATGATTTAACAGAGTAGATTTATATCTAAAACATACCTATCACACAAAAATGTATCACATTTTTTCTCATTCCCTTCTAAAAATGAGATGGTACCACATTTTTTAAAATTTGCTTTTTAAAGCCAACAAAACCGTTATTTTTCATTTGTATGCCTAAAATTAATTTGTCTTGATTAATATTTTTACCAACATTGTCAACGTCGCGATTAAATAGCAGCTAAGATTAATGCACTAACGAAAGTCTGAATAAAATACCGCTAAAATTATTAAAGAGTAGACACGATATTGAAATTAAATTTAGGCGGATAACATTCAATGTTTCAAGTTAATCAAATGTGATAACAATTAAATTAGTACAGTAAAACTAATTAATTTTTACGGTGTTTGTGGACCATATATATGTAAGCTTGGTTGGTTAGTTGATAAAGTTTGTAGTCAGTGAACAATTATTTAATAAGAGTTGGTAATCATTTTACTGAGTATACTCAGGAATGATTTAAAACACATTCTGTATTTTACTGGGTTATTAAAATACGCGACATAGAATAGACTCAGTTAAACACCAATAGTTTCATCGATAATTTCCATTTGTTCCAAAGATACTTGAATGATACTTTTATCATATGCGGCGAGAATACGGACATCGAAGTGACAACCAAAGAGTTCAACAGTTGCCATCATGTCATTCAATTCACGTAGGAATCAGAAATGAACTCAGAATTCCATTTTTTTTGGATGTTTTTCTAAAAAAGGAGATCTGATGATTCGCCTCATACATCGATCTACAGGAAACCAACATGGAATGATCAGTACACAAATGTCCATAGTTGGGTCCCTTTGAGAATAAAGAGAAATCTGATCTACTCCTTATCCTCAAGAATAACAAGGTTATGTTTCAGTGATACAATCGATGAGGAACTGGGGCGACTCAGAAAAATCCACATAGAGAATGGATA